TCACCACGAAACATAAGTGAAAAGAGGTTTCCTGGCAGAGGACCAGCATTTTTTTTTTTTTTTTTTTTGAGACAGGGTCTCACTGTGTAGTGTAGGCTGGCCCTGAAGTCACTATGTAGCCCAGGCTGGCCTCGAACTCACGGCGATCCTCTTGCCTCAGCCTCCCCAGTACTGGGATTACAGGCATGTGCCACCACGCCCAGCTAAGGACCAGTTTATTAAGAATGGTGGAGCTGGGAGGGATCCCTACCTAATGTTCACCTGGTTCCTTCAACCTCAGGTTCACAGCTGGGTGAAGCTGGTCTGGGAGGAAGCAATTGCAGAGATGAAGCAGTTCCCCAGGGAACCCAGTTAAGTTCATGGCAGAGATAGGATTGGAAGGTCCACATCCTTTTGAGTGTTAAACAGTAGCTGCCTTTTGAAGCAGTCACATCTTAGTGTACATCAAATATAGTATTCTTATATTTAAAGACAGAAAGTAAACATTTGCAATAGTTATGAGTTTGGGCATCTGTGGAACAGGAATGAAAAACAGGCTATGCCTTTCAAGGGGGTTGTTATGAGATAAAAATTAAATGTGTCAGGTGTGTAAAAATCTTGGAGAAATGTTCACAACTCTGCAGTGCACAGGACAACCCCTTACAACAGAATTATCCAACTCAGAAGTACAATATTGTCAAGCCTGAGAAGCTCTAAATAGAGGATATTAGTATTCATGAAGGAACTTCCTCTAAAAACATGTACATGCTCTGAAGATAGTCCATCCCTGTTCAGTGATGAGGCCACTAGAATATGCCAGCTGGAATCTTTACAGCTTAATAAGACAGGTCCTTTTATAATCTAGAACAAAGGAGGTGGTGAGCTTTCATATGTTTTTTCTATAATAATTTATATATTGGTTAGCATCCTTAACCTGACTCTCAATATGAAATTCTACTCTAGATTCTTGCCATTTGAAGAATATTAATTTGCTGGTGATAATTATCAGCCTGCTGATGGTTTTGTTTATATCTTCATTTTAAAGTTTAGAGGATGTAAAGAATTTCTAGCAGTCATTTCATATTCTCACCAGTTCTTCTCTAATACATCTAGAGGAAGATGTGTTCCTTTACTGGATTTGTGTCTCATAAAGATTATGGTTATTCAACAGACTCGGAATACCCGCTGTATTCCAGGACCATTGGTTGTAACAAGCTGAACAAAAAACTTACAGCCTGGAGCAGGCAAAACTAATTTCCCGGTGAAACTTTAATGCATACCTCAGTGAGAAAATGCACACGTGTTCAGTCAAAATCCTGTCTTCTCTCTGATGATCCCATTCCCTACCAGTAAACTTCAAGGCATCTGCCTAAAATTGATTTGGATTGCTCAGAAATATCTGGCGTCTGACCTATTTCCTTCTCTTTTCTTTGCCTTTGCCATTTTGGGTTCTCAGCACCTCTTACCGAGAATTGCAGTCACTTCTAATCTAGTTTCTTGGCCTTCCATCTCTTTGCTTCCCTAAATCCTACACATGAAGCATCTGAGAAAGATTGTGGTCTTATCACGGCTCTTTGATTGGTATGATTGGTTGGAATCATTGCATCACTAATGTTTGTCCCACGCTTCCTTATAACCTAGGCACAAGTGCTTTATAGATACTGACTTACCCAATCCTAACAACCCGATGGTAAAGTATGTTGTCACCCTTTTACCTAAATGGAAATGTGTGCAAGGAACAGTTAAGGTGGTTGATCAAGATTTGAACTGGGATCAGAACTCAGCTGTGTGGCTCTAGAATTCTGCCTTGCAGGCTTGATCTCCTCTGAACAAAACACAAATGGTGCCTGGTGGGAATGCCGAGCTAGTGGGTTCTCAACGTGCCTTCCAGCCATGACATTTTCTGTTCATACAGATAGGATACGGGTTCAGAGAAGTGGCACATCTAAGGCATGTTATTAAGAGGTGATGAGACAGAGATTTAGACCCAGATTTAGGTCCTGTGCCCGAAAAATCCCTCTTCTCCCTATTTCACAGTCCAATAAAGCTTCCCATATGAAAAGGGCCATCAAGCCCGGGAGTTTTAGCTCAGTGGTTTTGCCACCTGCTGCACAAGCGCAAGGACCCAAGTTCAATCCCCGGTACCAAAAAAAAAAAAAAAGAAAAGAAAAGAAAAGGGCCATCTTTGAAAGAGTAGGAAGCTACTCTTTATTGGAGGTATTCGCAAGTGTCTCAACACCATTTGCTTATATAATTTATAGAGCTTTTATTGAGGGTCTGCAGTGGGTTAAATGCAGTGCTATGAATTTAAGGTAGTGTTGCTTCCCTGAAGATTCTGGCGGTTATTTATGAAGAAGTGGTAAGCATTGGTTTCATTGATGGACTTTGTGGCACCGAGATGGCTATTGATGGCTCCTTATTTGACCTCTCGAACTCAGCATCAGGTGTGGTTAACCCAAGGCAGATGCTGTCACTCTTTTTAGGGCTCCTTATTAACAGGTCTTGAAACAGGACGGAGAAAACAAAAACAACAAAAACCAACAGTCATCAAGCCTAAATGAGATCATAACAAAGGTACTATTATAGGTTCTGAAAACTGAAATAGCACCAAGGCACCTGAAAGAGTTCAAAATAACAAGGAAATTCTACTTTAAAAACATAGAACTGTCCTCTTCTGGGTAAACACAAATGAATCTGAATCCTGTTCCTAGCCAGATAGACCCTTCTGGTGCCCAAAGTTCTGGTATATCCTTATTTTGTCTTTTTCTATTACATCATAAGAGTTTCGATTTAAGTTTCTAAGCCATTCTGCCCAGCACCGTCATCTTTTCTTTCACTTCTTTTTCTTTCTTTGCTTACTCTGTTTTCCTTCTCGCCCCTTTTTTCTCCCGCCCCTGTTGTATTAGTAATAACTTACCTGTACACTGTACTGTGACTCACAGAATGCTGTCACATGTCATGTAAGTTTTCATGTATCCCCAAGTCTGGAAAAGAGGCAAGTATCAGAGGGCTTTCAATCCTCCGACTGCCTAGAAGGGGAGACGGTGAGGGCCAGAGAGAGAAACCCTAGAGGCTTGCATAATTTCAAAGCACACGCTGGACTGGGAGGTGAGTGCCTCAGAAAGGGCAAAGACAAAGACACACCTGGGCTCGCCACTGTTTATTGGGTACACACCTTAATTGGAGGGAGAATCAGCTGACTTAGGGGTGGAGGTAGTCCTATGGGATGAGGATCTTATGCTGATGAGGATCTTATGCTGTTGAGGATCTTATGTTGATGAGGGAGGTAAGGAGAGCATTCTTACAATAGTAGGTGGATGAGATACTAGGCTAATAATAAACAACTTGTCCTTCCCCCAGGTGAAACCTTTCTCTTTTTATTACTACTTGGTTCTTTGTACTATTGCCCTTGAGCGTCACAGTATCTGGGGACCATTGAGGCCTCAACTTGTGACTAGAGGCAAAACAGTTATGTTTCCGCATGCCCTAGCCGGCTCAAGGGCAAGGTGACATTGAGCCTCAGACAGCTATAGCCATACTTAAATTATGAAATGATTTGTTCCCCCAAATTATGTAGAATGGCTCTCAACAGACAGGCGCGAGCTTAGTCTCTTGTTGTACAGATGAAAATAAGACCCAGAGTTTTTAAGTGAGCCAGGTAGCCCTCGGAACTAGTAAGGAGCATGCGCCCCTCTGCTTGGATCAGCTCAGTACTGAATATACAGCTTGCCTTGAGGCAAGAAGAACTACATTTTCTCTCCAAGGTTAAGTAAAACTAGTCCAAGCCTGCTGCTGTGTGCTATTTTAGGAAGAAAAGGGATTTTAGAGTCAGGTAGTCCCGGGTTTAAAATCTCAGCTCTGCTGTACTCTCATTCATTGATTCATTCAGGAGATAGTAGTCCACTGTCTTGCATGTGCATCTGTCTTCACGGGATCTGGGGTCAGTGGTGAAGTAGGGGGACCCACACGCTGCTTCAATGAACACTGTTTTTTTGCTTTTTGAGACAAAGTCACAATATGTAGTTCTGGCTGGCGTTGAATTCTCAGTGATTCCCCTGCCACAGCCTCCCAAGTGCTAGGATCACAGGCTTGTGCTACCATTCACACTCATCGATGAGAATAAGCCCCATAGTGTACAATCGGTGAAAAAGTGCCATTTATAAAGAAAATAAAGTGGGATAATGAGGAGAGATGATGTGGCAGGGGTAGCCAGGAGTGATGGGATATGCTTCAGATAAGGAAACCTGGGAAACCCCGGGATGCAACATTTCGGTGGAGACACAAGGGAAATGGGAGACTGAATCATGCAACCATCTACAGAAGTATACTGGATAGTGTATTTCAAACTCAAGAGCATTAGAATCACTTGGGGAGTTTGTAAAGGACACCGAGCCCTACCCTAGGGATTCAGGTTTAATTGGCCTGGGTTGGGGCTTCAGTGATAGTCCCTTTGGGTAGCTCTCCCTTCCAAGGGGTTTGGTTATTCTGCTTTTGCTACTTTTGTGTACGTTCAGAATTCTTCATGATAAAATGTTATTAAACGACAATAAGTACATTACAGCTCGCAAGGGGATTTCAATGAATATGTTGGCTTTTAAAGCTAGGGGAACAAGCCAGGTGTGGTGATGCATGCCTGTAATTCCAGCACCATGGGAAGCTGAGGCAGGAGAATTACAAAATTACAAATTTGAGCCTAGTCTGGTGAATTAGGGAGACTTGTCTCACAAAACAAAACAAAACAAAACAAACAAAAGCTAAGATACAAACTGGGGATGTAGCTCATTGTGGAGGCCCAGGATTCAAGCCTCAGTACAACAACAAGAACAACAACACCAATAGAACGTTCAGTGCTCGTCCTAGTGTCAGGCTGATTGTTTTCCAGAAAAAGCGAAAAAAAGAGCCAGCAGGATGGCAGCACTGGAGTGTCAGAGAGGTCAGAGTGCCAGGGTGGGTGAGCCTGGACAGTTACTTTTTTTTTTTTTTTTTGGTACCAGGGATCAAACTCGGGACCTTGCGCTTTTGAGGCAGCACCAGATAGCCAGTTACTTTTTCATTCAGCTCCTCATTTGCAAAAAAGAATAGTACTTTCCCTTCAGGGTCATTGAAGGGTCTAACTGAAATGATATGCAGCAGAATAGTTCTCAGACTTGAGCACGCAGTAGAATCATCTACAGAGTTAAAACTCAGAGTTGAGACCCTGCTGCCTCCGGTGTCCGATTCACTGGGCCTGGTGTGGGTATGAGAGCTTGCGGTGTGTACGCGTGTGTATGTGTGTTTCTCCTTTTACACTGCACTGCTGACCAGCTGCTGAGTGGTGTTGCAGTTGCTGGTCAGACTTTGAGACCACGGGAGTCCGGGGAGCAGCTGTCTCAGCACTCAAGAGGGTTCTGACACTGGGAGGTGGAGTCAGAGGCAAGAGAGTCCGCTAGAGACAAGGGCAGGGGAAAGGGAAAGAGGAGAGTGGGGAAAAGGAACATCTTGGGATGAAGCCAGCATCCACGGTAAGACTGGCCCTGCCTGATAGTTAGGTGATTGACTGCTGGGAGCGAGCACAGTCCCCTGAACAGTGCTGAGCGTTCTCCTGGGAGAAGAGCCACAGGCCCTCTAGGGCAGCTTTCCCAGTGATCTGCAGTCAGCCTTGAAGCAGCCTTGGGCTGTGTTACCATGGCAACAGCCAGAGCTGTACCCATAGACTGTGAAATTGGCGCACAGAGGTTCACAGCCTCCGTTTAGACAAAGGAAAGGAAAGGTTTTAAATCCCAGTGCCAGGTGTTAAGAAGGCTTGGTCTCCAGTGTGTTTTGGTCCTGGACTAGGTTTTCTCGTCAGAGCTGGGTGAGGAGCAGAGCCCTTTCCTGCGTGCTGTTGGCCTACTCAAAGCCCAGCACGGCTGGCAAACCTTGCTGTGATCCAGGTGGGCCAAGAGTGTGGCCTCAGGAAGGAAGCACAGCTCAGCTCACAGACTGACCTGTGCAGATGAGAAGCTTCCCCCAGCAATGCCCAGGTGGGGTCAGAGTCCAGTGTGGGTCATGAACTTGTTTTATTTCAGGTTGATAGGCCTATTTTGCCCCTTCGTCTACCCTTCTGATTACCTACCTGATTGATGGCACCTTAGACACCTAAGCTAGTTAGAAAATATTATAAGGCAGTTAGGCAGGGCTGGACCCTCACCACAGAAGACAGCTGTGGTGTGAGGCCCATTCACTGAAGGCGGGGCTTCAAGAAAGAGGAACTACTACACTCTCATACTTCCCCTAGGCATGAACAGCACAGCATCAGCCATCTTGCTTGGGGACCATAACCTCCCTAGCCCATTCCTTCCCAGAATCTTTATTCATTCCTTGTGTGCTTGCTATGTAACTAGCTTCCCCATTTGATCCCCGTTTGATCAGTATTACCTAAGTGACTGTACTTGTTACAATCTTATTGGTTGACTCTAGTTTGGTCCCTCTTCATACCCAACTTGTAATTTCCCATTGGATCAATATTACCTAAGCAATTATACTTTTAATCTTATTAGTTGACTACAGTTTTGTCCCACCTTGAACTCGCCCCACCTCGTGGCTTTGCTCAAAACACCTCTGAGAAGCGGAATTGGCAGGCAACCTACCTTCCTGCCTCCCTTCTGTTTCTCTTAGACAGAAGCTATCTTTCTCTCAATAAATTCTTCTTACTCTTAACCTGCATTGTTCCTAGAATTCATGCTTTGATTTTAGAGAACATGAACTCAGCGGGTCAGACAACTAGTTGGAAGTTATAATATTTTCCTTATAGTATTTGGAGGTGCATATATTATACACCCTATATCAATAGGATAGTTACTGAATTCAAGACACTTACTGGGCCAGGGATTTAGCTCAGTGACGCCATGCCTGCCTCAAAAGTGCAAGGTCCTAAGCTCGATCCCAGGTACCAGAAAAAAAAAAAGACACTTACTGAGCCATGGTTTGCTCAAGTGGGCAGGGCCACCAGTCTGTAAGCTAGGCACCCATGTGTGGCCCTCTACCTGCTACAGGGGACCAGGGAGGCCGACTCTGTTCTCTCCCACCAATGCAGAGCTAGGTCAGAGCCTGGTTCTTCTCAGCTCCCTTCTCATGGTGAGCCTGTGAGTCCTGGGTGATATGAGAATTCTGGTGCCAAGGCTTAGGTAAGGTGGACCGGGCAGGGGACCAGGCAGGACGCCCCAAGTCTGTATCCAGGTGCGTCCAGCTTTCACTGGAGCCCTGCCTGCTAATTAGAGGAGGTAGCTATTTATTCCTAAAGTGAAACTCAGTTTTTATCCAGCCCTGGGAATCCTTTAAGAAGGCAGGTGACTTGTATGAAGGGATCCGGACTTTCTGGGTTCTGGGACATTATACCATCCCCCACTTTAGGGAAACTGGGCAGTGAATCAGGGCAAATTGAACAGAGGTTCTGATTTCTGTAAAGTTGCCTTTTCTAGATATTTCTCTGAGGCTCTTTAAGCCTCAATTTCTTTGTTTGAGAAACAGGCCTACTGAGGGGCCATCCCTAGTTTTTATCATTAGTATTATCACCAGGTAAAGCACTCCGTTCAGTGCTCAGCATTAAGTACAGTAGGTATAAGCTAGCAGCATTATTTTACCCAACTATCTGTATTCCTTAGGGATGAAACTTCTCACATGTTCCCGGAGAGATCTCAAATACTTAATCAGATTTAGTTAACTGCCTTCATACAGACCTGGCACATCCCAGTATCAGCTTCAGCTTTGATTTCTGCCATGAGCGCTTTTTTATGTTGGTGAGCATTCTTGCATTTCCTAGCATCTGAGTCTTCTAAGTGCTACAGAGTGGCAGGTGTTGGCTAGTTTCCAAAGATGTGGAATGGGAAGGCTCCCTGTCCCGCTGAGGAATGGAAAGGAGCCCTTTTCTGAGAAGCAATCAGTGGACAAAGGCAGGCTCACAGGATTAGAGACTTGGGGCCCCTTGAAGTCCATGCTGTAAAAGCAGATGAATGTTGGGCCTGAGATTTAGCTCAGTGGCACCGCACCTGCCTTGAAAGCGCAAGGGCCTGAGTTTGATTCCCAGTACCGGGGCGGGGGGCGGGTGGAGAGGAGCAGATGAATGCCACACAGTGAGAGTGCCTTCTCTAGGTCATGTTGAGTGGGTGCAGTGGGGGGTAGGTGGCATCATAGGTGGCATTTGCTTTGTACCGTATGTGGGGATTGCAGACATTTTGACATGTTGCTATTTCTCCTGCGTAAGTATGTGATGGGTCTCTTGGAATTTATTCTGCTTAGGACAAAGAAGTATACTACTTCAGAGACAGTATTTCTCAATATATTTGAACTCTGTGAATGTGATTGAAAATAAATGGCACAACTTTTATAAAATGCACCCAATCACCATTGGTAAGAGTCATAACACCTTGTTGTTTAGACAAGCTAATGAGAAACGTGTCTCAAAAATTAGTGATATCAAAAGCAAATTTTCTAACCATGTGTTTCCATTTCCCCTATCCTTCATTTCTTCATTAATAAAGTAGAACTAATGATTTTTTACTTTAGGATTATTATGAATGTCCATCACCAAGCACAGAGCTTGGCTTAGGGCAAGCATTTCATAGATGCTGGATTTTCAGTTCTTTAATCTGGAAAAATGAGATCATCATATCTATGTACAGCATATATTAGAATTTGGGGTGGTGCTTATCTAATTTAATCCTCATCATCATTCCATGAAATAGATAACTCTTATTAGACCTACTTTGCAGGTTTGTAGTTAGAGGAACTTGGATTATACCTAGACTCTGACTCTGAAACCGTGCCTTAAATACCATGCTTTCTTTTCTGTCTTCAGGCTATGAGCCGACTTTTAGGCATAATGTATGGGAGAACTTGCCACAGTGCCTTGTCTGTTGAAAGTGGTGAAATTCATCCTTACTTGGTTCTTGTCTTTCTTCTGATCCTTGTCTGAACCCACTGGACAAACACCAGGGTCAGGCTTGCAGGGGGTGTCCGTGGGAGCTCCATCTGGTGTGTGAGTTTAGGGAAAGGAGGAAAATGATTCCCATTCAGGACTTGCCACCAACAGTGCCTTCAGTTGATTCTTGGCAAATTACTGACACCTTTTATGTAATGGTCCTATGTAAGATGTAAGATCCTATGTGATGTATCAGAGGGCAATCAATCCTCCGACTGCCTAGATAGGGAGAAATAGAGGGCTAGAGAGAGAAAGACACTAGAGGCTTGCATAATTTCAAAGTACACGGTGGGCTGGGAGGCGAGTGCCTCAGAATGGACAAAGATGAAGACTCCCCCTGGCTCACCACTATTTATTGGGTGCACACATTAATTGGAGGGAGAATCAGCTGACTTAGGGGCAGAGGTAATCCTATGTTGATGAGGATCTTATGCTGATGAGGATCTTGGGTCATGAGGATCTTATGCTGATGAGGGAGGTAAGGAGAGCATTCTTACAACAGTAGGTGGACGAGGTGGTTCTTGAAGAACCTGTATGTCTTCAACTGTTGTACACTTGCCCTTGAGCTGCACAATATCTTGGGATTATTAAGGTCTCAACTGGTGACCAAAGGTAAAACAGAGCTGTATTTCCACATGCCATACCCGGCTCCTGGGCAAGGTGACATTGGGCCTTAGACAGCTATACTCATACTTTAATTATGAAGTGATTTTTTTCCCCAAAATTTATGTAGAATGGTTCTCAATAGTGATGGGCTTTCTTTACCTTAATTATTAGCTTTAGGTTTGGAACAATGGTTTGGAGAAAACATGCAGATAGAGCTAAATAAGGAGTCATGGATGGGGAGGAGAAGGGGCCGGGTCAACAGCCTGTTTGTCTGTCTGTCCCAGTACCACCTGTCAGACTCAGGACAGTAATTTGGCCTCTCTGAGTTTCATTTCCTTACGTAAAGATGGCAGTAACATCAGCTGCCCTATCTACATCTCAGGCTGTGTTAATGGTTTCATGACATAATAGGTACAACGTTGTCTGGAAACTGGACTGTGGTTAGAAAAATAATCACCAGTATTATTGGAAGAATCTATGCCAAGTCAGTGTGATTGAAAAACTTCAAATATAAAGCACATGACTGTTGCAGTGATTGCTGAAAGATCACCAAGGGACACAATGTGATTGGCAGAGACAAGTCGAAGCCTATGCCTTATTTCTTCTCATGGTCATGAGTGCATTGGGATTCTATCAGGATTATCTTATTTTTCCTGGGTTACTAAGTTGAAAAAGACTACTTTCTATGTTCAGAAATGTGGTGTTCTGTGCACCTCCCTGAAAAATTAAATATTATCCCTCAATGTAATGTCCCCAATATCCATTGTCTCTTACTTCCCCTTATTGACAATGTATTTTAACAATGTTCATGCAACTCTGCCTTGTTTTAATGAAGTTAGACATAGTCATATTTGTTTGTAAATATTGTAAGTTTTATCACCACTGTGCTGTCATTCTGCTGCTTTAAAATGTCAACAAACAAATCTGAAATTAGCAAGAGATTTTTATTCGAAAGGA